TTTTCAGAGTATACAGCTTTCAGCTCCTTGGTTAAGTTTATTCCTAGGTATTTTATTCTTTTTGATGCAGTTTTAAATGGGATTTTTGAACTTCCTTTTTCTGATAGTTCATTATTAGTTTATAGAAATGCAATAGGTTTCTTTGTATTAGTCTTGTATCCTGCAACTTAGCTGAATTCATTTATTAGCTCTACTAGTTTTGCGGTGTATATTTTAGTTCTTGGTTTTCTTGATCTTTTCTATTGTTTTTTGATCTCTATTTTATTTGTTTCATCTCTGATCTTTATTATTTTCTTCCTTCTTCTGACTTTGGGCTTTGTTTATTCTTTTTTTCTAATTCCTTTTGGTGGAGTTTAGGTTGTTTATTTGAGATTTTTCTTGTTTCTTGAGGAAAGCCTGTATCACTATAAAATTCCCTCTCAGAATGTTTTTGCTGCATCCCATAGATTTTGGAGAATTGTGTTTCCATTTTCATCTGTCTCAAGGTATTTTCTGATTTTGTCTTTGATTTCTTCATTGATTTATTGGGTTTTTTTTTTTTTTTTAGTAACATGTTGTTTAGTCTCCATGTGTTTGTTTTTTCCCATTCTTCTCTCTGGAATTGATTTCTAGTTTCATACTATGGTGGTCAGAAAAAAATGCTTAGTATAATTTTTGTCCTTTTTAATTTATTGAGACTTGTGTTGTGGCCTAGCATGTGATCTATTCTAGAGAATGTTCCATGTGCACTTGAAAAAAATGTGTATTCTGCTGTTTTTGGATGTGATGTCCTGTGGATATTTATTAAGTCCACCTGATCTAATGTATCATTTAAGACCACTGTCACCTTATTGATTTTCTGTTTGGATGATATGTCCATTGATGTAAGTGGAGTGTTAAAGTCCCCTACTATTACTGTATTATTGTCAATTTCTCTTTCTATATCTGCTGATTGCAGTAATTATAAAACGAGGGTATATTAGAAAAGTTTAGTACAGATGATTGAGTTGAATCTAAAGGTCAACACAAAGGTAGGAAAGCATGATTGAGCTGAGAGTTAAGGATTAATCATATAGGAGTGGTTAGACCTTCCAGGAAAAGTGAACAGTATTTGTAAAGACCTTGCTAAAAGCAAGGAGGAAATTAGTATCTCCTTTTCTATTCTCCAGAAGATTTTGTGTAAGATTGGTGTTACTTTTTCCTTAAATATTTGTATGAATTCATGGGTGAAGCCTACAGGCCTGGAGTATCTCTGTGGGAGAAAATTTATTTATAAATTAAATATTAATAGATTTGGGAGTATTCACACTTTTAGTTTGTCTTGTATCATTTTTGGTAAATTGTGTACTAAGAAATTTATAACTTTTTAAAAATTTTTCAAATTTATTGGCATGAAGTAGTTCATTATATTATGATCTTTTTAATAACTCTATGATATATTGATATACCCTTTTATATACTTGCAATCAATAACTTTTGCCTTCTCTATTTTTAAATCCATCTTGATAAGAGTTTGTCAATTTTATTAGCCTTTTAAAAACTTTAGTTTTGATGATATTTTCTATAATATGTTTGTTTTTATTTTATTAACATCTGTCTTGTTTATTATCTATTTCTGTCATTTATTGTTTCTTTTTGAGCATATTTTTCTGTCTCTTTTTGTTCTATTTATTTTTGATTAGTGATGTGTATGAAAATTTGTAGAAATAAATTTAGAACTAGAGTGACATTATCTTCTTATGCAGAGAGTTTATGTTTGTCTCTTACTGGTAGCCAAGTTCACTAGCTGACCCAGATCACAGTAAACTAATTTTAAGAGTTGAATTGGTATTAGCCAGGTCTATTTCTAGTTCACCTTTCCTCCTGTATTGCAGCCTTTCAAAGTCCCAAACTAAAATATGATTAACCAGGACTCTCCCTCATTGTTCCCCTAACCCTGAAACAATGTCATAAATGTCCTTCAGATTTTGCCTCTCATCTGCCTCTTGCAGAATTCATGGATCACCATAAGGGCAGCAGCCTTAATTGTTGGGCCTGTTTCTCTGGTCTTCTTTTTTTGCCCAAATCTTAGACTCTTAATTTTTCTCTGCCTTTTTTATCTCTCTGATCTCTTGAAGAATTTTTTTATAATTTTGTCCATTTTTTAGATGTCACAGTTGGAAAGTTACCTTACTTTCCTCATCTATCATGAGGAAGTGAAAATTCTAAGATTTATTTCTATTTTCTCAATTTTTTTAAATGATCATTTTTGGGTTATTTTTTCTAGTATTATATTATGTGATTTCCTTGCACCAATTATTATCACAATATTTCTATTTTGCAGATAATTTCAGACTCACTGGAATTAAAATTTCTTTCTTCAAGTCTTTATCAAGTCATGAATAGAATATAAGTTCCTTGAGGGTATGGAATCTTGTTCAGTGATGTTTAACCAGCACCCTGAAGTGTGTCTAGCCCTTAGTAGGCTCTCAATGCTTTTGCAGTTAAATGAATGGAAGGAATGGAGTCACATCTTTTGTATTAAGTGGAGGATTATGAATTCTTTGTTCTTGTGCTACAGGATGATTATCACTTTTCAAATATACAATTGGATATAGCTTGATGACAATATGTAAGGACATTTTATATACAGCAAGCTTTACTTATCCATTTTGTTTGGACTTCTGGATTTTCTTTTCAGTGTATCATTCTAGTAGCTTATTTTTATTTTATCTTGAGAATTTATATAGGCAATAAATCCCTGAAAGATGAACTCACACTGTAGAGAGACAATGTCCATTTTACAAACATTTAGTTCAAATGTAAATGTATATGCCTAATTATAATGTGACTCTGATGTTTATTATCAATCCTTTCTCAGTAGGATATTGATGACGTTCTTATCTAGGAGTGCCTTAAAAGTCTCAAGCCAGTATCTTCTCTCATTGCTTTGATCTGTGCCTTTGACTCATACATGGGCCTCAGAATCTCATCTTGGCCAATTCCAGAAGTCAGGTACATTGCTGACAATCCTAAAATATAAAATTTTTTCTTTGTCTAAAATTGCTTCAAAGTTATAAGCCTTGCCAATATATAGTTCAATGTTTATATTTTAAGCTCCACTGCTGTTCTTATGTGCAAAACAAGGTCTGCTGAAAATTCACACAGTTTTCCTGAATGAATCCCTCCAGATACAAGGGCTCAGCTCAATTGGGAAAGTTTGAAGGTCCTTCATAGGACCTTCAGAATTTAGGCAGAATGCCTAAATTTTTGAAGACAAAGTCATAGCATTATTCATTTTTATTAAGTGTTTTGGAAAATAACATATTTACTAATCAAAAGCCCTTTCTTTCATAGCTGTATCTTATATCCCAGTACAATGTACTCTCTCCAGTTACATTCTCCTGGGTCTAAGATTGGGTTAGCTAGTTAACTGAGGAATTTTTCTAGTCATTATTTCATTCCCATCTTGAGTTATACAGGCACAAGTAATTTAAGATGACACTTGGACTCACTGTGTATAATTCTACATTTTTTTAACCCAACTTGGACCCTAACCACATAATTGCAATTGTTATGCTGCAACTATGGCATTGGTAACCTGAGCCCTAGAGGTCAGTGATTCTACCTGCTACGGGTAAATTGATAATGGGTTATTTTCATTATTGTGAAGAGTGCCAAACTGTGTACTAAATATATAAAACCTGGTAATATCAGTTGTCTCAAGGCCAGGATTAATGTCAATGTAGAAAAACTGCTAGGAAATGGTATGGCATCAACTTGGTATTCCCAAGAGTAACACTTATGTTCAAAGTGGTTTCATATTTCTCCCCTTGGTCAAAGACTGGGACTTTGATGTATCATATAATCTGGATGCCTTATCTCTTGGTTTTCGCTTCTCTTGCTTTTTGAGCAGAGAATGAGTGTCTCTATCCGTGGTGATGTCAGTATTGCCTGATCTTTGGCCAGGGCCTCCAGCACACATGTTATAGCAGGAGCAGTGTAAGATAATGGTCTAACATCTATGCACTGAAAAAAATACCAGGTTCAAATCCTACCTCACCTTATTCAAGTTTTGGACAGAAGTTACCTAACCTCCCCAAGCTCCAGTATTCTCACTGGTAAAATGGAGATAATAATAATGCCTTACTCTTGGAGTTGTTGAGAGAATCAAATGAAATAATCTGTATTAAGCACTTAGCACAGTGACTACTGAGCTCTCAATATATATTAATATTATTTTTGTAGAAAATCCTTTCTAAAATTGTAGATTTATTTTAAAGGACTTAAACTCAATGTTGTTGTATTAACCAAGAACCTGCTTAATTTGGAACTAAGGTTTTTTAAGATGAAAATCTTTTCTGTGGTCAAAGAGCGTGTTATAGTGCTACTTTTTGTTCACCCATGAAAGCAATTTCTGTGTTCTGCTGTAATAGACTGACCGTATTGTCTGCCTACTCTGACTGCTTTGGATATGCCAACTATGCCAAGCCTCCCTTACCTATGAATACTTCCTCACACTGCTCCCTTGCATTTCTCTCCCACAACATATTTGAGGCAGTTATCACAATACTCATGGACATTTTTCCTCTCTTTATTCTCTTTCAATAAGAATTCTTAATTGTGCAGACTCAGGATTGAGAGTGAACAAGATGCCTAAATACACACACACACACACACACACACACACACACACACACACACACACATTCATTCATTCATTAATGCTCATATAATTTAATTTGGTATAGAACTCAACTGATAGACTCTTTTCCAAAGCATTAAGGACCTAAGCACTTCTTAAAAATGTAAGAGCAACCAACATTTTTTTGAAGGTTCAAATAGTACTGTCATTGATTTTTATAAACATTTTTGGAAACTGAAGGAGACATTATGTGAGGTTCTCTTTTGTCCCAGTGGATGATTGAAGAGCCATTCATTGCCCAGTCCTGACACTGCTTTTCCCCATTGGGTCTCTGTGAGAGTCACATGCTGTGGACATCTTTGAAAAGAATCTTCTGAGACTTCAGCATCTCATTTGAGTCTCCTGAATCTCACCTACCACTGTGTTGAATTCTCATCCATCACAATGAGCAACAAATTCTTAGGCACCTGGAAACTTGTCTCCAGTGAGAACTTTGATGATTACATGAAAGCTCTGGGTAAGAAATGTTCTCTGTTGTTCTAATTGAGAGGATCCTTTTTGAGAAAGATGCATGACTATTTCCTTCTAACTCCTTTTCCAGGAGTCTGGGAGTTTGCACAGGTTGAAGTACGATCCTCTTCTGGGATTAATCTTCTGTTGTGTCAATCAGATAATGTATTTGCATTTTATTTGTGGCAATTTTAATAGATTTTAACTCAGATAAGAGCTGCTTAAATGCACTAGAGTGCCCACTGATTTCAAAGGCAGTTTCATATCAATAAGGTTTTCGTTCCAAACCTGGAGGAAAGAAATCTTAGAAGCTTAGTCAACCTATTTTCTGGCTTTCCTGAAAGTTAGATCTACAACAACTAAAGTGCTCATGAAATAAAGAGTTGAATATACTAAAGTTAATGGAAAACCTCAATTTAAAATTTTGATGCTTAGCTATACCAGAAGTTTTCTGTCTCTACCTCTAGGTTGTCTGTTATTACATAACTATGTAGATAAAGATTTTGTAAAAAGTGAATACTTCATAAAGCAGGATATTCACAGTCTAGGAAAGTTACTGAGAGAAAAAGAAGTGTGTTGTGGCAATGAACTCAAGCTCATTTACACTAACATCAGGCTTTCCTGGAGATGGAACAGTGGATGGAGATGGAAAGTCTAGTCATTAGTATAGCAACTTTATTTGCTACTATTTCTAGGGAATTTTCCATAGATATGAGCACAAAAGTGTGAGGAGTCTTTGGAAATGTCCAGAGCTGTATAAATAAGTAGAGAGTGAGGCCAATGACCTCAGATTGCTATGCTCATCAAAGTACTTGTAATTTTACCTGTTCAGAAAGCATATAAGGTATTCTATTTTTAGATAAAATGAGCAAAATCATGTTGTGTTGCCTGGAAAACTATGGGAACTTATGGGAATAGATCCATACCATAAGGTTGGTTAAATTTATGGACTTCACTTTATAGCCAAGGAAGAAGCAAAATACAATATAAGAAAGTCTCAATGAAAAACTTCCTAATTGTGTCATTTTCAAATTTTAGAGTGCATAAGGACACCTGGGGGTGTTGTAGATTCTTAGTCTCTATTGTAGAGGTTTAGTTTGAAAAGCATTGTCCTAAATCATATCAAATAAAAAATGATTAATCAAAATTAGAAGAAAGAGTATCATTCACAATCCTTTATTGGCTCTAACTCTTCACACTTCTTTTTGTATATATAAATGTAAATATATGTATATTTATATATAACTAGTTTTTTCTTCATGTATCTCTCTCATTTGACATTTCTATTTTTCCATGTATTTCTGTAATCTTGGGTAATATAGTAATAATACTTAAGAGTCTAATTTTGTTTTGTTTTCAAATGCAGAAAATTTTTTAAAAATTATTTTATTTATCTAATGATCATTTGTAATGGTACAGATCATTTTAGGGGCTACAACAAAATTTCAGAAATGAGCTTCTATCAAGGATATGGGAGGAATTCTTTTCTATATCCATAATATACTACTGAGGGAAAAAATCATAGAATAGCATGCATAAGTCATAGTCTCATTTAAAAAATATATCTACAATATTTATGCATACAAACTAAAATGTCTGAAATGATCCATACAAAACTATAAATAGTAGTTTTTAATGGAGCATGGGTTTGGATGTGGTAAAAATAGATGACTTGCACTATTTAAGCTAAACACTTTTAGCTTTAAAATCTGCAGGCATTACTTTTGTAGTAACAAAACGTAAAATATTCAAGTCCGTGGACATGTGTTTCCATTAGGTGATGAAACATGGGAGAAGGTCCTTAGCAGTAAGTGCTATTACCTGCCATCTACACAGCTGAGGCACAGCTGAGCATAAAATATGGCCACCCATAGTCCCTTTAGGTAGAGGTTCTCTTGGTCAACAAAATTCTAACAGTATCTTGATTTTCAGGTGTGGGATTAGCCACCAGAAAACTGGGAGATTTGGCCAAACCAAGAGTGATCATCAGCAAAAAAGGGGATATTATAACTATAAGAACTGAAAGTACCTTTAAAGATACAGAGATCTCCTTCAAGCTAGGCCAGGAATTTGAAGAAACCACAGCTGACAATAGAAAGACAAAGGTAAACTTAATTGTTTCTCTTCAAATTTGGTCCAATCTACTACTTTGAGAGAGAAGATTACTCCTGCTAGTATTCAAAAGGGTAGACCACTCCCTTCTGTTGAAAAATGAACGTGCCTCATAAAACATCTGTTATGAAAATGATTCAATACTGAATGAACTGCTTCTTTACTCAACCAAGTCCAAGCAAGTCAATTATGTAAACCTATCTTTGCAGAGCGTTGTAACTTTGGCAAGAGGCTCGTTGAATCAAGTACAGAAATGGAATGGCAAAGAGACAACAATAAAGAGAAAGTTGGTGGATGGAAAAATGGTAGTGGTAAGAGTAATTTTACTCTAAATACATAAATACAGCCATTTAAATAGAGAAAATGGTTATATTATTTTCAAAATATTCTCTTTTCTTTGCAATACAAATGGATAAGAATGGCTAAGAATAAAATCAGAGTTAATGTTTGGGTGATCTTTGAACTATAAAGACTCATCTACAGGTACTTCAGGTTCAGATTCAAGAATTTAGAAATGATACAACTCATTTGTTATTTTAGAAATAACAACACCTAAAAATGATAAAAAAAAAAGTATGGGTAAACCTCATTAATTTAGACACACGAGGAGAAAAGCAAATCTAAGTTTTAAAAGCAAAGCACATTCCCAGTCAATTGTAGAATATTTGTAGATAGCTAAGCATTTTGTTTTCAAGAATCCATGGTAACTTGGACTAAAACATGTCAACAACTCAAGCTGAGGTCATTGGAGACCTTTTGTAGTTGGCAGGTAAAAATGATGACAAAGGTTATATGAGATGACCTCTAACAATTTTTTTAAGTCTCAGGTTCTGTTCTTACTAATCAACACACACATTGACCATAGATAGATTTATGTAGTTCTTTGAACATTCTTTTCTTTAGTACAGAGGAGCGTTATCCTTAGCTCCACAGCAGATTTACATGGGGAGTAAATACCAGTATGGGAGCCCCAATACAGATCAACTGCCTGCACATCTCTTGGGGGAGGAGGAGCCATCAGTATTTTAAATGTTCCCCAGATAATGCAGATGTGCAGATAGTTTTGAAAACCACTGTTTTAGTAGATTTAAATCTGTGCCAATTATGCATGAAAATTTGCCACTTAAAAAATATACCCCTGGGGCTTCCCTGGTTGCGCAGTGGTTGAGAGTCTGCCTGCCGATGCAGGGGACATAGGTTCGTGCCCCGGTCCAGGAAGATCCCACATGCCACAGAGCGGCTGGGCCTGTGAGCCATGGCCGCTGAGCCTGCGTGTCCGGAGCCTGTGCTCCGCAACGGCAGAGGCCGCGACAGTGAGAGGCCCATGTACTACAAAAAAAAAAAAAAAAATATATATATATATATATATATATATATATATGCCTCTGATGTAACTTAGATCAGATTTAAAACTGTTTCCCCTGTTTCAATGGTCATGATTCCAAATTCCTGGAGACTGACATACTGATATTTTATTTCTTTCTGAGTTTAATCTTATGAGATTGCTTATAATGTCTGTTATTATTACAAATTTGCTATCACCTAGTTTGAGTTTTAGATATTCAATTAATCTCTCTTTTTTTTAAGGAATGTAAGATGAAGGACGTGGTCTGCACCAGAATTTATGAGAAGGTCTGACAAAGTTGTTTCCTCATTGAAGTGATATTTGATCATTTGATGTTGGAAATCAGCTGTTTCCATTGGCGAGGCCTGACTACACTGCACTTTGTTTGTTTCCGCTTTTGTCTTAATAGATCAGATAAGCAAAGGCCTAAACGGAGGATTAATCTAAATTTCAGTGTTATTTAAACATTTTCAATTTGTATGCACGTCATTACTGTATTAAAGATTAAAGTGTGTATATTGGTCATACCTAAAGAATGGATAATGTCATTTGATTATCTGTGAAGTTCTAACTTATGCTGTATTTTAAATATTTGAAATGATAGTAAAAGGAAGTAATAGCATAGTAAAAAGAAGTAAATATATTGATTGGGGTAGCAAACTCAAATGCCTTCAGAGACCAGGAGAGTAATGGGTTTAGAGGATCAGAAGTGAAACAAACTAGAAGAAGGAGCTGAGGAACACTGAGGAGTTCTAGCTTCAGCTAAAAAGGGCAGCTGCTACTCCAGCCAATTTAAAAACTGAGGGTTAATTTACAGACAGTGAAATTAACAGATATTAAAGATAGAGTTGTGACAAATGCATGCACCCATATAATTCGCATCCTGATCAAGATATAGTACATTTCCCTAATCCCAGAATGTTTTCTCACACTCCTTCCCAGTCAATGTCCTGCCGTGTCCCAGCTCCAACAAAAGCAAGTAGTGATTTAGTTTCTATCACTGTAGACTAGTTTTGCCTGTTCTCAAACTTCATATAAATTGGATCATACATTATGTGTTCTTTTCTGTTTGCCTTTTTAAAGTCAGCATAATGTTTTTGAAATTCATCCATATTGTTGCATGCAACATTAATTTGTTCCTTTTTATTGCTGAGTAGTATTCCATTGCATGAATATATCACAGTTTACTTACCCCTTCTTCTCTTAAGATAATTGAGTTATTTCCAGTTTTTGGCTTCTATAAATAAAGCTGCTATAAACATTCTTGTATAAGGCTGTTTGTGGAAACATGAGTTCCTTTTCTTTTGAATATTAACTAGGCATGGAATTACTGGGTCCAGCAGATTTTTGACAGGCAGGAATAGGGGACCACTCTGCCCAGGTAACAAAACTATTTCAGATATATTACATGATTGAGCAAATGAGAATATATTTTGATGTTGTTAGGAGCTAGAATTTTCCTTCTGGAAGAAGGCACATACAAGTATGACAGAGGGAAGGCAAGAAAGAACTGTGTGCAAATGGATTGGAATAGATGTAAATTCATATATATGGATATGTGTATACACATGCATATATTTCTTAGCTCTATCTACCTTAAGAGCTTACAAGCAAAGACATCTCAGTAGGAATGAGTACACCCAGCACTCAGATCTTGGTGTCTAATGTATTCTCCACTAAAAAGAATGATGGTTCCTTGGAGAAATGGCTGATTCTGATGTGAGAGCAGGGTAGGTACAACGTAAGCCTGAAATATCTTTTTATGCCAGAAATTAAGGACGCTTTCCCCAAAAATAATAGAGATATGTCACCAAAATATCAGAGTCAGCTTGAGGGTGCTCTCAATTGGACAAAACTGGGACAATTTGAGAAGTAAATAATAGAGAAAAATTGTAAATTATAGAACACGGGGAGACAAAGAAGACACCATGAATACGTACTGGAAGAGGGAGAGAGAGAGAGAAGAAAGTATCTTCCTTACAGTAGACTGTCATAGCCTGACTGGTAAATGTGGAAAAGGGGCTGGGATTGGAAAAATTGTCATTTTTTCAACCATCACGGTCAATATTGGCTCAGGCAAGAATTGTCAATGGAGGTAGAAGCTAGAGCAAAATTTTGATTAGGAGCAGGGTATTAGGTTGATCTTAAAATACCTCCACACAGATTGCTTATTAGTTACAAGGGAACAAATAGTAACCATGCAGTGGGAAAACTGTGCCACCTCTTTACTGAGTAATCAAAAATAAGCTGATCAATGAGGGTAGATGAAAACCATGTGCCTTCAAATGTGATACACTGAGAAGGAAGCAACATGGCTTATGCAGTACTCTGGCCTGGAATCCTTATCTAGATCTAATCATGAGGAAACAGCAGACAAATTCCAAATGAGGAATGTTCTATTAAAAAGGGGAGGAGGTGTTAAATGAATTCTAGAAGAATGTCAGTGTCATAGAAGGCAAAGAAAGGCTCTATGAAAATGTTCCAGATTAAATTATACTAAAAATACATGACAACTAAATGCAATAAGTTATCCCAGACTGGATCCTGCACTAGAGATAAAATAAATACTCCAAAGGACAATATTAGGTTAATTGGCAAATTGGAATATAAGTCGTAAATTAGAAGTTTACTGTAAGAGAATCCCCCTACTCTTGGGAAATATACACTGAACTATTTTGGAGTAATGAGCCATAAAGTATACAATTTACTCTCAAAAAATTTAGAAAAAGCTGTTGGGTGTGTGACACACAATATGTACATGCATACAAAAAGAGAGCAATTGATAAAGCAAACAGGGTAAAATTTAACAACAGATAAATCTGAGTAAAAGCTGTATTTGTTCTCTTTGAATTAGTCTGATTCTTGAAATTTTATGCAAGTTTGAAGTTATTTCCAAACAATTTTGTTTAGGCTACACTTGGTCCTTCTCTGCCTCTGGGCATTCAGCCAATACGTCTGAGAGGCATCATAACCAGGGTGGGGTTTTATTTCTTTGGCTCCAGTTAGATTAACCCACAAAAAAGGAGAGTTTAAAAACTATGGTGTGATTTTTAGAGGTTTGTGGTAATATGACTCACCATAAAAAAGTATTCCTCAATAAATATAATTGCACTATTATACAAAAATCATGAGTACTTTTGCTTTCATAACAGGAAAAGTGGAATTACACTGATAATGAGGAAAACAAAATAATTATTTCAGCAGGTGATACATATTATTAGATTTGAAAAAGATCTTCAAACAACCAGAAGAGAGGAGAGGGGAAAAAAAACCACTAGAGTTCTGTAGTATTCAAAAATAGTCTCAGAAAATAATTGTGACTCTCTAGTTGTTTTTGATATAAGCTGGTTAAGAGCGGTCAGACTGCCTAGGTCAAATTCCAATTTGCTACTTACTAGCTGTGTGTCATTGGGCAAGTTACTTCACCTCTCAGATCCTCAGTATTTTTACCTGTAAAAATAGGGTCAATAATAGAGCATACCTCAAGGAGTGTGAATAATAAATAAGTTAATATATGTAAAGTGCTTTGAACAGTGCATGGCACAGGAAAAGCATTATAGAAGTATTTTTTGTTATTATTATTTATCTAGTAATGCACATGATGTTCAAATAGATGAGGGCTTCACGGGATCCCAAAATGAAGAGAAATTTACAGGATCTCAGAGCTGTTGATATTGCTTTGCCCACCAAGTGATTAACTTTATTAAGAATATTATTTAGGGCTTCCCTGGTGGCGCAGTGGTTGAGAGTCCGTCTGCCGATGCAGGGGACACGGGTTGGTGCCCCGGTCCGGGAAGATCCCACATGCCGCTGAGCGGCTGGGCCCGTGAGCCATGGCCACTGAGCCTGCACGTCCAGAACCTTTGCTCCGCAACGGGAGAGGCCACAGCGGTGAGAGGCCCACGTACCGCAAAAAAAATTAAAATAAAATAAAAAAAGAATATTATTTACACAAAAGTAAAAACAATCAAAAAGCTGCAATGTCTTTTTAAGAAGTCATCAGGTAAATCTTTAGTCAAGAACTAGAAATACTATGGTCAACATGAAACCAAGACTCTCACTAGTAAAATCCAAGTGCTATGCTACTTCTAGGCATAGAAGTATATAGAGAGTTATATAACAACCATTGTTATACAACTCTGCTAATCTAAGCAACTTTTTAAGATGGCAATTGATGATTATCTACTCTAACCTAAACAAGGCCTAAATAAATACATTTAATCCCAAAAGGGTAAATAACTTCTCTGATGTCATTCTCTTGGAAGTCGTTCTCTTAACAGCAGTGGTGTGCTGGAGCTAGCTCAAATTGTTTCATAAGAGTTGATAGATTTTCAGGAATTTGGCAAGCCAGTTCTTAAAACATTGGTAGGTTGAAATCACCCGTGATGCTGGGAATTCCCTGGCAGTACAGCGCTTAGGACTCTGCACTTTCACAGCCAAGGGCCCCAGGTTCACCCCTGGTCCATGAAGTAACTAAGATCCCACAGGCTGTGTGGCCAAAAAAAAAAAAAAAAAAGAAAGGAATCAGCCATGATGGGAATATTTACACCAGGGTAAGAGGCAAAACACAACCAATTAGAGCTTTGTTTCTTGAGGAGATGGTTTTAAACACTTACTAACACCCCACTGCCTAGAAGTAGCATAGTACTTGGATTTTACTAGTGAGAGTCTTGGTTTCATGTTGACCATAGTATTTCTAGTTCTTGACTAAAGATTTACCTGATGACTTCTTAAAAAGACATTGCTGCTTAGCTTTTAGGATGATTTCTTCTAAACCAAGTGGTAGCTCTCTAAATATGGCTGCACATTAGAATCATCTGGAAGTTTTTAAACATCCCAGTATGAAGATTGCACCACAGGTCTGTTGAGTCATAATGTATGGGTGTTTGATAAGTGAGACCCAAGCAACAGTATTTTTCTTAAAACACCCAGGAGATTCCAGTGTGTGGCCAGCTTGAGAACCACTGTGCCAAAGACTCCCGAAGTTAGACATTTAAGGTAGTTCCTCACATGGTTATCAATTAAAATGGAGTAAAACGTCATCAAAGTCAGGAGTACCAAATGTCCCCCATGTGACCCTAAATAACAAAAGGTAGTGAAAATACTACCATAAAAATCAACTCAGATGTAATCAAGTCCTTCGTAAGGGAAGCCAGTGTTTACCTCTTATCTTTGTTATTTCCACAGGAGGCAACATAATTGGTCATTATCCATGACATATGGAAAAATGAAGGTTTAAAAATAGCAAAACAAACAGGGAAAACAAACTGTAAAATAATGCTAAACCTTCACAAAATATAAATCATCTTTCAGCAGAATTTAGAAAGTAAGTTCAAATTACTCAGAAAATGTAATACAGGACTAAATTTTGAAATAGCATTTCTCACCTTTTACTGTCTCTTAAAAAAAAAGATCACTGATGGAATACAGAGTTCTCAGGTCCCAGTTTTCAGGGCTGGAATTTTGGCACTATTTATTGAAGCATAAAATCCTGCCCTTGGTAACTGACTTGTGCAACAGTTTTAACTGGTCTAGTAGTGCAAGGTGAATATCCCAGCACCACCAAAGAATGGTTGCTTCTGCAGTTAAAGGGTTTTGATTGAAAACTGGATCTGTGACAAGTCTAAAGTTTCACATCCATGAAGAAGACCAAATAATATCACTCCCTTGC